GTGTCTGTCAAACCACAGGCACTTTAAGCCCAACAGATCAGAAATAAGTAATATCATGCTTCTTTTGACTTTTGAGTCACCCAGTGTCTTTAATGTGGAAAAAAACTTGTACTAACCTGTGCATGGGAAAGCACCCAGTGTTTACAGGCATAGGGCTATGTGACTATCTGTGCTACTAGGTAATGCCCAAAAGGGGGAAAAAAATCCTCCATCTAAACAGAACAGAAAGCATGGAACATACAGATCAGATATAATTATTTGAGTTTTGGTACTGAGCATTATCATTGTGGTTTCCTCGTTCATAAGGCAAGTGGTTCTCCTGGTTCTCCTAGATTTATTCAATAAGCAAAATATTGTTGACCACCTGTCATTATAGCTTTGATAGCTCATTACAAAGCAAATAATGCTATTTTATAAAGAAGAACTGAGGCTTGTTCAGCATTCCCTAATAATTTCCAGGAATATGATAAATTCCTCTAGATAATATTGAAAATATATTGTTCTGCTCAAATAATTTTTAGATTACTGTTGGCAGTTGCTCTTAAACGTACAAACATAGTCATGCATCAGCTATTTCTGTACCCTACCCCAATATACCTGCCACAGGTCATTTTGGAAAATCTGTAAGGATATAAAAAATAAATAATATTAAAATATTTATTAAACAAATAAATAATAGAAATCTGCTTGAGACTTCATAAAACAAAAACTTACTTTTCATTGACCAGTAAACAGAAACCTGAATGAATTTCTGTTTCCTTCATTCCAAGTCAGTTCATTCTAGTCTCTGAAATTGACTACGTACTTTATTTTTTGTTTGTTTAATGTACAGTGGCTTTCTCCAATTTTTCTTCTGTTCTGGAATTTGCTGATCATTAGAATCATTAGAATTAAATCTTGCCTTTTCAGATTTTTTGCCTAAGATAACATTATTTTTTCCTAACATAACATTTTTTGTTAGACTTAGTATACACACACGTGTGCATGTGTGCACACACACACACAGAAAACAATGTTTTGCAAAACAGTACTTACCCTTACTATAAGCAGCACACTCTATTTTTCTACTTTAGCTTTTTTAATTTAAAAAAACTTTGAAGTGAAATTCACACAATATAGAATTAACCCTTTTACAGTGAACAATTCAGCGGCATCCAGTAATTCACGATGCTGTGCAGGCACCACTTCCAACTAGTTCCAAGCTATTTCCACCATTCCCTGTCTGTAAATGTCCAGATCTGCAAATAGTTTCTTTTGTAGGTACCTCGCCAAAAGTAAAGGTCCATCAACAAACGAATGGGAAGACAAATTATGTTACATACATAAGATGGAATATTTTTCTACTTTATTTTCTAATTTTATTTATTAAAACAATTTCTGGTTGCAACCCTTTAAATTGATTTTGTGAGCCACGAATGAGTTACTGAAGTCCTGTCCTTTTTAAGAGCTGGAAAGAGACTTCTCCAGAGGTTGCAGATTCATATCGTGTGTCCCAGGTGATGATGAGGGCTACTGTCCCCACTTATGCTTTCCTCATACTCATGCTGCCCCACCATCAGGCATGTCTGGTGGGCACCATCAGTAGATCTGCTATCCAGGCATTTTCTCTATTGATCGAAAGAAAATGTTAGGGTAAACAAAACAAAACCAAACCAAGCCGTTGGTTAATACCAGAGGGTGAAGACATCCTCTTGTGACAGCAAACACACTCTACAGGTAGAGGGCAGTTTGTGTTTGGGCTGACCAACAACTGATTCTGGATTCTGACTTTGGCTTAGTGAACTGTGCACATCCTGAAAAACATGAGGCAGGTCAACCCCTGTGTTTTCCCCAGACTTTTGTTTAAGAATTTCTGCAAACTCCTAACACCTCAAAACCCGAGTTCAAATTGCGTAACTCAGGAAGGATATAGGTTTGTTAACTGAACTCATTAGTTAAAACCTGAATATGGATACTCGACAGCAAATAAAAAATCCCATTGGATGGGGCTATTTCTTTACCCCCTTTCTCAGCCTTGAAAGTATAAAACATATAAAGAAGAAGAAAACATTCACCCACAATTTCATCATCCAGAGACGATGACTGTTCATGTCTTGGTAGGGGTCCTTTTTACTGTCTGTTTTTATGTAGTTATGGTAAGTTTAAAAACAACTTGGATTCTTTATTCTAATTTAAGATTTAAAAAGAAGCATTTAATTATAAGATTAAAAATGTCCTAAAAGCATTAGTAATGGCTCAATAATGTTGTATCCCATTGTGTGGACTTTCATTCACCTAACCAATCTACTCATGGAAGTGGTTTATAGTTTTTCCACTGTTATAAATGGTGCCCTGAACATCTTTGTACATGAAACGCTTTTCTGGATTTGGAATATTCCCTTAGGATAAATTCCCAGAAGTGGAATCATTGGGCAGAAGGCAGTTGAACCATATCATCAGAGTCCTCTAGCAGAGTCTGCAAGCTTTTTCATCCCTAGGCGTCTGGGTCTTGGAAGCCTTGTTATGATGGAAGCATGGACACTGGGCTCTCCAGGCAAACTGGAGACTTTGTGAGCTGCATATAAAGCAGACCCTGGGGTATCTTTAAAATCCCTTTGCCCTTGAGTTGACATGTTATAGTCAGCAACAGAGGAAAAATATTCTCTGAGAAAATGTTAGTTTGCAAATACTGTAGGAACTGGGTGTGGTGGAGTTCAAATAATCATTTCAATATCATTTTTAGTTTTATTGTTTTGGACTCTTGTGTTCCATTTGGCTCATTATAAATAAAATGCTTATGATTTTATTCTTGTATTTTAAGAAACAGAAAATTTAATGTTACATTCATATGGTTGTACACAGGGTTCCATCAAAATAATGATTTCTTTTTGTTTTTACTTTTGTATTTTTTTATGCACACTTTACAAATAACTTCCTAGCCATCCCACTCCAATTTTGGTATACTTTATTAATTGGCACCTTCACATCCTTGGCGATTTTTATTTCCAACTAGGATTTGTTTTACACATTAAATATTTACTCATGGTGTTGAGATTGGGTATAAGTTGCTGACAAATTTGGCTTTTCTTTCCTTGACATAGATTATTCTTCATTCTATGCACAAATACCAACCGCGAGTCCATGTCATCCGTAAAGATTGCGGCGATGACCTTTCTCCCATCAAGCCTGTTCCATCTGGGGAGGGAGTGAAGGCGTTCTCCTTTCCAGAAACTGTTTTCACCACTGTCACCGCCTATCAGAATCAGCAGGTACTGTTCTCGGTATTAGTATCTTTCTAGCCTTTTCTTTTCAAGTGCAGATAGAATGCGAGCTCTCCTTTTCACCGTATCTGAACATTATGAATTGTCTTAACGGGCATTTACATCCAGAGTATATATGTATTGTGACAGCAATTATTTATCCATGATTCCCCAGGTAAAGCTACCCTAGTGAGAATTTCTTTAGACCAGAATGTGTCTCATGACTGGCAGTGTAGGTTAACTTCCCATTTAGAGACATTGAATCATGATGTCATAATTAAAATGAAAATATTTTTAATTTCATTTTATTTTGAATGGAAGTATTGGGGATTGAACACAGGACCTCATGAATGCTAAGCACTTAGCTATATCCTTCCCCCTATGATTAACCACTGTTTCACGATTGCTTTAGTTTTGCTAAAGATCCTACTCTTCTTCTTCTTCTTCTTTTTTGTTAGTGAAGGTAGTGGGGATTGAACCCAGCACCACCTTGTGCATGCTAAGCATACACTCTGCCACTGAGCTATAACCCCCACCCCTGGAGTTAGCAAGCATGTGTATTGACCAGGAAATAGACATGTGGAATATGAAAAGTGAATTGTGTCATAGGCGTGGGGTTTGGCAGCTCACTCTATTTTAAAATGACAATCCATGTTTTATGGGAAATATTTCAGAAGTATTTATCCCACATAGCCATTTTGGTATATATACAAAAGGGCTGTTTCTTTCAAGATATGCTTTAATTTTGATAGAGAGACGATGCATGCTTGCAGTCAGAGATGAGTGATTATGGAGTAATCCTTTCATAAAATTAGAAGTAATTTGAGAACTGAAATATTTCTTTTCTATATGAGTAAGTGTATGTACTTCTTTAAGGTTATGTCAAGCAGGTGGAGAGCTGAATCGAGGCAATTATTTGGTCCATGAAATTCTGGCCAGTTTTCATAAGAAATAGTGACGTAGTTGATGCTGATGCGGTCTGGGGTAGATTTTTGAAAAATTTCAACAGTCAGCAGAATTATTTTAGGTCTCTACTTCTCTTTACATATACATATATATATATGTTTAAAATGTGGCTTTATAGTCTCTCTGTTGTGTTTTCTGTTGTTTAGAAGCTTCTTGTGGGGAGGGTATAGCTCAGTGGCAGAGCACGTGCTTAGCATGCACGAGGTCATGGGTTCAATTCCCAGTACCTCTGTTAAATTAAAATAAATAAATAAATAAATAAGTAAGTAAATAAACAAACAAACCTAATTACCTCCCCCCACCCAAAGAAAAACCAAAACAAAACTAAAAAATTTAAAAAAAAAGCTTCTTCGGAGATTTGGACCTTGTCCTGTGCATCCCCCTTCAGGGCCAAGAGGCTCACCCGCTTCTTCTGTGTGGTGACACCAGTCCCACAGCCGAAGCTGTCCCGTCCTCTCACACTAATATTGTCACACTTTTATATAGGCTTTTGTGAGGGAACATGAAATTAACCTTTAAGTGGGCTGATGACAATTAGGAAGATATTCTTAAAATATATTAGGGGCAGAAAATAAATTTTTTTAAGGAAATATATAATGCATGAGGAGAAAAGAGCAGAGGCACTTAGCACCTTTGAAACAATCCCAGTTCCTCTTTTTTCCCTGTCTCTGTCTGTCTCTGTCTTTCTAACACACCCAGTTAGCTGTGTTCAGTGTGTATTTTCTTGCAGCCCCTGTGGTACTGTAAGTGAAATGCAGGGGGCTTTTAGTGCATGTTGATGACTAACACCAATGAACAAACGTTGACAAACCAATCAAGAGGATGGCAAAATTAGAAGGAAGGAAATTGATAATGAGGAAATGCAATCATGTTCTTTTTTTTTTCTAACTTCCCAGCTACTATTTTGAAGAACTTCTGTAAAGCTGGAAGGCAGCCATGCCTGGTGGTTACCAGCATGGGCTGAAAAGCCTGGGTCCCGGCCTAGTTCAATGGCCAAGTAAACTTATGATCATAGGAAACTTAAACCAGTACAAAAGAAAACATAACATTGGGATATTAACTACATAGAAGATGCTATGAGATGAAGTAATATGCATAAAACTCATATTTCTGCATACATGGTATGCACTCAATAGATGTGATGTCAGTAATAAAAATAATGATAATAATAATTGTGATATATCTCTATTAAAACAAAGCACCACTATATAGATCTGTACTCTTTTAAAAAAATACTATTTTAAATGAACATTTAAATTATTAAATGTTTTTTAAGCATTATTTAAATGAACAGAAAATTGAGCTATGATGAATTGTAAAGAATTCTTTCAACAGCAGAGTGGCAGATATAGTGAATTAATTAGTGGACCCTTACATTTTCTTATTTATAATGGAGTTTAATCCACAAACTAAGACACTTGCATACACCTACCTCGTGTGTTGAGTGACTGGCAAATGGCTGTAAGCACACACAGCATGATATAGGGGGACTGCAGATGACTTTCCAAAGATGCCTCTCTGTGCCTTAGTGCCATCCAACAGTGTTCGTTTGTCTTTAGCCCAAATGGCACAATCAGAAGGATGTTCATTAACTGTGGATTTTACCAAACCAAGGAACACAGAAAACAAAGCATGATGTGCTTCTTAGAAAATAAGCTGTAAATTCCTCTGGGCAAAGAGGAGATCTGGTAAGAAATAGATGGGATTTGTTTATTAGTGTCAATTTCAAGCTGATTACTGGAAAAAATGTTTTTAATGAGACGATTAGACCATTTGTAAAAAATTTTCTCTCAATCTGGGGGTCTTACTGGGCAAAAGAATCTGGTTATAAGTCAGCAAATTAGAGCTGTAGTTAAAATGAAGTCATTATTCATTTCTCCTACATGTATAAGATTAAATATCATTGGAACCTCCAAGTTGTGGTCACCTCTGGTTAGACATTCACTAAAGTGCTCTGACCAGGGCACGACTCCACAGATAAAAGAGATGAGAGCCGTAAAGATGATTCAAGGAGAAACAAAGAAAAACAGGGAGGCAGAATTGTTAACGGAGTGTATATTACTTATTTCTGAAGAAGAGAGGGATAAATAGAAGGTTAATAACATTCAGAGTATAAATGTCTCTTAAATAGAAGGTGGGTATTAGCTGTTCCCTGTCACCACTATTGCAGGAGAAATAGACACGTCACAGCATTAAAGGGAAGAACCGTAGCTCTGAGAGATCGTCAGACAAAAGGCAAATTACCAACAGAAGATTTAGAATCTCCTTAGAGATATTAAAAACAAAGCAAACTTTATCTATTGCAGAATTAAATAGGGGAGAGGGAGTGTATTTTTCATAGCAAATGGATGTCTAAATTGTTACTGAAATTTTCTTGTAGCTTTGCTACTAAGACAATAAAATACATGAGAAATAGGGAAGAGGAACACAGTAGAATCCTCTAACAGTTAATTTTGGACTTACTTACAGTTCTTCCATCATTTCCACTTTTAATAACCTTCCTTGGCATTCACAATAAGATGATGTAATTTTTCCCCCCACTCTGCAGATTACTCGCCTGAAGATAGATAGGAATCCCTTTGCCAAAGGCTTCCGAGACTCGGGGCGTAACAGGTGAGTCTTAGTGAAGAACGTTCTGACTGGGATAAATATATTTGATTTTTTTTTAATGGTGAATTTCCCACTACAAAGTAAACAGCTACATCTACTGACATGGTTTTGAAATCGTTTCTGATGAGGATTTAAATTTGTTAACGCCACTGGGCCTTGGATGTACCTTATTTTGGGTGCAGCATTGTGGCTTGCCCAGTTCTAAGTTGAACTTTGACGTGTGATGCTGGAGTGAAAACGGAAGTTCTCAGGGTGTGCAGTGCATGCTGCGTCTGGGTCTTGTGGAAACCTGCCCCTCCAGAGCCAGGGGCTTCAATATCCCACGTCAAAATCTGCTCTACATCTGCTCTTGGTTTAGAATTTGCTTAGTGATGTTACAGCTATCTACTGATCTGCCTTCAAAATATGACAGAGTCCCTTGTTCCCTCAGATTTCCAATTAGAATGAAAAACTACTCCCCACTGCCAAGACAGCTGATCCTCTCTGGTTTCCAAATTTGTCTTGGCTCTACTGACAGCCGCACACTTGTTTATTTTTTTCTGTGTCGTGTTTTATGGTGTTTGTCCTAAGTGGGAGAGCTACAGTAATGAATTCCACCTAATACTTTTATCAAAAAGCAGATCATCCTAGTTCTCTGCGCCAAGAGTTTTTGAATTTATTGATATGATTCCATTCCAATACAGTTCGGGGGCAACATTTTCTAAAATAACAGTTGAGAGTAATAATAGAATAACGTTCTCCAGATGCCCTTTCAGGGTAAGGCTTTGATTTAAATGGTTTTTTTTTTAAATGGTTTTTTAAAAAACCAAAATGGTTTTTTTAAAAAAAGTACTTGAGACATTTTTATCACTTTACTCCAGAAATTATTCTCATACTCCTTGAAAGCTTGGTATTGATGGGCTGTGTCTACATGAGGTCAAAATTGTCAATAATCTTATTTTCGGGACAGTTTCTCTTAAAACTGTAGAGAGAAAATGGTCAGGTAGTAGTCCACACTTCTAGTTCTTTCTGCTGACTAATTGGGCAAGGTGGGTGTAGACAGAGTGCTTTTCTTAGAACAAACTCAAGTGCTTGCAGAAAGACTGGATTTCATCTTCACATGCAAGGGTTCTCTTAAATACTATGCAGTGTGGGGACTAAAGTGTACCGAGAACAGGGTAGAGTAGACTTTTAACTCAGCGCAGGCAGAGCAGCAAGACTGACTAGTACCAGGGCTTCCCTCTGAAATCCATCACCCTGTGGGGAGATTGGCAGGTATTCCTACTACGCTGTGTTGAATTCATTCTCTTTGTAGATTTCTGTCTCAAGGTGGAGACAAATTTTGCTTGGCTTTTGTTACGTTACATTAAGCTGCTGGTTAACGTTGGCTTTTTGGAGGAGTTTCTGAAAGTTGAACCATTTGGCAGCTGAGATGGTCACTGGTGAGGTGACTGAAGGGAGTCTCTGGAATGACTGCTTTTCTACCTTGAGAAAGTTTGATGAAATCTTTTATGGTTTTGGTTAGAGCAGAAGAGTATTTATCTATTTCAGAGCCTTCCTGCATTACTTTCAGTTCACTTTTTTTTAAAGCAGAGAATAAATTTATTAAAACTCAGCTGAAACTCCAGGAGGGCAGTACTGAGGCTTGAGAATATACGGCCAGGAACTATGCCCAAGCTCTTCTGTAGGCTCGCTTTAGAAAAGACCTCGCTGCCATTGACACTGGGGCATCACACTGCTTATACACTGTCGGGTTTTTTGTTTTTGTTTTTTCCAGTTTTATTGACATATTCTTGACATATAGCATTCTATAAGTTTAAGGTGTACAGCATAATGATTTGACTTACATCATAAAATCATTACTACAACAAGTTTAGCGAACATCCGTCATCTCCTATAGATACAAAATTAAAGAACTAGATAAAAATTTTTGTCCTCGTGATGAGAACTTTAAAGATTTACTCTTTTAACAACTTTCCTATACAACATAAACCAGTGCTAATTATATTTATCATGCTGTACATTACTGTCAGTTCATTTTTGAAGCAATAGCTTAAAAAATATTTTTAAAGTGTATTTTGGGTGGTAGTCACAGCGACTAAGTCTAACAAGCAAAAGTGAGAGGACAAGATCCATATTACAAGTTTTTAGGGAGAATTCTAGATAAGTCAGCACAATCAAAAGGCATTAAAAAAACTGATCAGTGAAAAAAATCAGAAGCATTGGTGAAAATAAACCACTATGTCTCTTGTTTGGTGTCATGGGGTCAAAATGTTAAGTTCGATAGGAATTTTTTCTTTCCTTTGGCTGTTTCACGAGTACACAGGCATGGCATCCACGGTGCATGCTACTGTTTATTTCCTGATTCCAAACCTTTCAAAGGTTTTAATACACATGCAAAAAATAATGAATTATATTTAACACTTTTTAAAATGCTGTTAAAATTTAAAATTTTTATTTTGCTCCAAACGCTTAAACAACATTTTAGGATAGGAAAAACTTGGTGAGCCCATATGTAGCTTCCTTCTTAGTGGAATGTACAGTTTCACTTTTTCCTCATGAAAATGACCTTTCCTGCTTATCATAGACAAACTCTTCAATGCTCATTTTGGAATGCTGAATATCTATGAATTGATATTCCCAGTTTTTTAAAAAATCTGATTTTAACATTTTCCACTGGTAAATACAAAAGAGACTTATATGGAGAAGAGAGAATTTGGTCCCTTTTAAAGATTTCTAACCTACGAGTTATTTTCCCTGAAAAAAAAAAAAAGCCCAAATTATCTGTGACACTAAGAGGGTGGTGCTGAGGGTTTGGGGGAAGGGTGAATATGGTTAACTAAATTAATAGAGAAGAAAGCCAGTGAGAAGTTTAAAATATTTCTTTAATATCCCTGGTTTTGTAACACTATTGTTACTGCTTTTTAATGAAATGCTATTTTAATTTTTTCCTATACATGAACTAAACAAATTATGCAGGACAAAAAATAAACTCGGACTTGTGATTTTTTTAAACTTTATAAAACAATTTGCTTTAATTAAAAATTACACCTTCCTGGCTATTTATGGTTCCACAGCCTATTTTATAGGAATCAGTAGCTTCAGCCCTTAAAAGCTCTCCTGCAGGACATTTGCTACGTGAAGGAGAATTTATGTGCTGAGAATAGTTTCATTCTTCAG